AACCAGGTCTTCTAACTCAAAATTCAGTGCTCATTCTTCTGTACCACACTATTTCTCTCCTTTTGGACTGTAGGCTACTGGATGTACCACTGCCCTATAACAGCAGTCATAACAAAAATTGTAATGATACATTTTCTTTGCTGGACCTGTGATTTCCTCAATGTAGAGAGACCTACTGATGTGGTACTTCAACTAATGATTTACCTTTTCAGCGACTAGTATTTTAATTGTAAATCATTTAGCAAAAACAAAGGAACTTCAATCTATTAACTGTTAAAACTTCACAGTCTCCCTGAGAGGGAAGGTAGTGCAGGTGTAACTATCTTCTAATTGATAGAGAAAAGATCAGAGATTCAGAGAGGTAAGAGATTCACCCATATTGACCGAGCTGTCTGGAGGCAGAGTTAGGACAAAAGGCCAGGCTTCCTCTTTCCTAATCCATTGTTTTTTCTGCTTTCTCTCAATTCTCTCAGAAGAGGATAGTTTACATGCCTTCATGCTCTGTCAGCAAACCACTCCCTAATTGTGAAAAGCCTCTTGTACCTGATCCCACACATGCCAATTTGAATCTTAATTTAAAAAAAAAATTAAAAACCTATTTTTTTCCAGTTCAAAACATTAGAAGACTGAGCAAGAATTTGTTTCACTCCTTTGTAATTCCTTTCTCCAGGACTGCTAGGTGAGGTGCTAAGGCTAACAAATGATTACTGTTTATATGTTATGGAGGAAAATAACATCTTATGACATCGGGAAAGAATTTCCAAGTTGCCAAAACAGTTGTGTTTGCTTTTAAAATAACATATTCTTCAAGTTGAACGTGTTTACAACAACTATACTTTTCTCCTTTCAAAAACAATTACAATGTATGACTCAGTCTGGAAGGCGGAAAAAATAACTTTCAATTTATATCCCTAGGGTAAAAAACACAAGAGGGAGCTAAAGGGCAACCAATAGAAGAACTTCATTTATAAATGGGTTTCTACTTTAGGAGATAGTGGGAATTATAGCATTTTTTTTTTAAAGATTCCCTTAGCATGGTCAGTTTTGTGGTTTTAGTATATTAGAGGCTTCTCTATGGACTGGACTGGCAGGTGCTGGTATTAGTTCTGCCCTCAATATATTATATGACTATGACCTTGGGGAACTTCTGTTTCTCAACTACCCAGCCTCCACCCTTAGCTTTCGAATAGAGAACATCAAACCTGATTCCCTTATACCTACCTACTTCGTGGAGGGAGGTTATAAAATTGATTGCGACTACATCGTCCAAGGGACTGAGTTCTTTGGAGGAAAGGACTATATAAATACTGAGTTTTATAGCTATTGTTAAATTCCATGAGTGTTTGTCTGGGGTGGGGGAGAAAGGGGGGTTCCAGCATCTAATACTGCTGTCCAGATGTAGACTAACAGAAACAAAAGCCTCCTTGTTTAATAAATTTAATTAAGCTACTAATAAATATGCACATGTATTAGTATACATATATGAATGGGCACCGTGGAAGAGGGGACTAGTAAAGAGAATTTTTAGATGAATTTATTTGAAGGAAACTAGAGGAAACCAAAAGTTTAAAAATATATATACACACATAACAATTTCAAAAGGGTAATTTAACTAGATTGCTACAATTCAATTAATGACTAATCATAACTAGTAGTAATAATAGCATGGGAAGCTAGGTGGTACAGTGGATAGACAGACTGCTGGGCCTGAAGTCAAAACTCATCTTCCTGAGTTCAAATCTGGCTTCAGACACTTACTAGCTGTGTGACCCTGGGCAAGTCACTTAACCCTTCTTGCCTCAGTTTCCTCATCTATAAAATGAGCTGGAGAAGAAAATGGCAAACCACTCCAGTATCTTTGCCAAGAAAACCACAAATGGGGTCACCAAGACCCCATGAAACCACAAGTGAAATGAATGAACAACAAAAGTAATAATAGCCCACATGCACATCACTTTAGAAGTCACAAAGCAATTTCCTAAAAACTCCTAACGTGGAGAGTATTGTATGATTATCCCCATTTTATTGAAGACAAAACAGAGACCCAGACCCAGAAAGTTAAACTGACTTGCCCAAAACTATACTATTAATTACCCACAGAGCTAGGATTAAAACCTATATACAGGCTCTAAGGCCAACGTACCAAAGTGAGATAAAACTCAACATGTTTTTGTACTTTCCTCCCTTCCAAATTCTGATTAGAGAATAGATGCAGAGATTCAGTGTGATATAATGAAAGTAAATGGAGTCAAAGGATAGGGACTGGAGTCTTGGTTTTGCTATAATAATCTTTATGGGATGAATACTGGACCTATGATTTCATTCATCTAGTAAACTCCTGAATATGGAGCATCTTCTCTGCAATTTAAAGGCTTAAGAGAGTTACCAACACTTAGGCCCTGCAGTACCAAGATGTTAGAGGATTTGCCTAGGGATATACAGTCCAGATGTGTTAAAGGTGAAACACGAACCTAAGTTTTCCTAGCTCTAAAATCAGTTCTTTTTCCAATGGTCCATGTTGCCTATCAACATGTATGCCTCAGGGTCAAAATTTCACCTGATTCTTCAATTCCTTCTTGTGTAAAATACAGCTTTGGCTAGAAGGCCTCACAGATCCCCTATGGCATATCATAAGATCTGATTTCCTGACTCAGAGTCAGATGGAAGATGTAAAACTAAATCGGAAAGAAAAAAATGCAAAGAGTTTCAAATAAGGACAGTAATGAACACATTGGCTTTAGAATATAACATCAAAATCTCTATTTTTTCATTATAGTTAGTCCTCAAATAAGAGACAGAATGATGGGGTTGATGTTGCCCCCATAAACTTCTAAACCACTGGTTATTTTCTTTTTTTAAATTTTTTTCCCCACTGGTTATTTTCTGAAAAAAAAAAAAAAGAAAAAAGAAAAAAGAAAACCTAAGGCCACTTTGACCTGATTTTAGCTAGTATATTCCAGAACATGGGAGAAACCTATCAACACTGTATATGCAATTCTAGCATAAGAATACAAGGATCCCATTTCTCGGACTTGAACTTCTGGTCAAATCAGAAAGATAGAGAACAGGCACTCAGGTTTTTCTTTATTTGACTCTGACACTTACAAATAAATGTACCATTTGGTTCATCTGCAATGTAACTTCCATCTATCTGTTTTCTGACTAATCTTCCTTATATTTAAATCTAGCCAAGTCATTCCTGTGCTCAAAAATCTTCAATAACTCCCTGTTGCCTATGAGTAGTTTAAACTTATTTGTACCTGGCCTCTAAAACTTTCTACAATCTGGAGCCACAGTAACTTTTCAGCATTGGGTTATCTCCACACACTGTGTTCTAGCCAAAAAAGATTACTTGCCATACTTCCCAGCCCCAACTCCTACCTTAAGACACACCCTCTGCTTTTTCCACTTTTGCATCCATGCTTACATTATTCCTTGTACCTGTAACATGACTCTTCCTACCTTTAAAGTCTAAATCAAGTAATATTCCTTCCCTTGATGCTTTCCTCCATCCCTCCACCTTCCTGTTTTCACTTCAATTAGCACCTTATTTTTTTTGCCCCTCTAACACCCTCATCATGCAATATTGTGAATTCTTACAATCTTTGTTGGTATCTTTTCTCCCTACTAGACTCTAAGCTCTAAAAAGGCAGGATTTGCATCTTATTTAAACTTGATATTTCTCACAGTGGCTAGCATCCAGTGGATGCTTAATAAATGTTTGTTGAATGAAAGAAACAAAATAGGTTAGATGGCAGGTACATCATCTAATTTTCCTATTGGAATTTAAAAGGAAAAATCTGAACACAATGAGTGTGTGCATGTCTGTGAATATGTGTGATAATATGTGGTACAATTTGTAAAAGGGTTATGTTGCAAAACTCATTAAAAAGTCAGTTGCTTGGAACTGTGAATTCTTTTTCCCATAGAAACAATGCTATAAATAATGACTGTTAAATTCCTGGCCCCAGCTAGCCCATAAAGGCCTATTTAACCCATGTTGCACCTAGAATGAATGTACTTTATGTGTCATTACTCTCTGGAGTCTTTGTTCGCTTGTCTTCTTATCCGTTCTTCCTATGATTCAAATGTTTCATGGGTTAAACAAATTTTAGTCTAGGAATCTAACCACAATCATAGCATTGTTTTTGAGGGAAAATTAATCCTATGGTCAACAGTGTGAAGAGAGCTCTTTGCAAAGGACCAGGAAACAAATAGGTCCTTTCCATTTCTTTTCTTGAATCTTGAAGTTGAGGCAATGGAAGAGAAGAAAGAACAAGTCTTATTTTTTTCAGGGTCTGGGGGTATTTATGTTTCATATGTAAGCTACATTCTTCATTCTGAGAATATACTATTAATAATATAATTATTAGTTATACTATTAATTACCCACAGAGTTAGAATTAAAACATATATACTAGTATAGTATGCAGAACATTCAAATCAGAGAACCCTTGACTCACTTCTGATACTTATTAGCTCTGTGCTTTGGGAAAAGTCGTTGGACTTTGCCTGCTCATCTTTAAAATGGTTGACTTTAAAATGGATGAGTTCAAAATTCTGCCTCTGATACTTAACTGTTGTATAACCACGCATCTGTCCCTTAACTTTTGTGAGCCTCAGTTTCCTCATCTGTAAAATGAGGATAATAATAAAACCTATCTCACAGGTGAGGTCCGCGTGAGATAATATAGGCAAATTACTTTGTAAATGCTATTTTATAACATTGAGCTATATAACAATAATTAACATTATTGTAATTATTATTATGTCTCTGAAGACCTTTTCAGCTCTAGAGCTATGACCCCATAACCTCTTCTGAGCTCACAGATCAAGCACTCAGTGTTTCATTGAGGAAAAAGAACTTAATTAAAGAAATATCCATTAATAGCATTATGGTCAACAAGATCTACATCTGAAGTATCTCAAACAGTAGCCTAATAATTACCCATTTATTGCTGCAAAAAAAAAAATGGCCAGTGAAAATTTTTTGAACTCACCTATTTCTTCCCCCAGGGAGGAGTTCAGGATTGCCCCTGCAGACATGACTACTGCACAACTACCCAAACCTTGAGGATACAGTTTGCTCAAGGGCGCTTGAGGGACATGCTTCTCCCAACCAAGGTCTGAAAAGGGGGCTTCCTTTCCATCTAGTGTCTTCACAGTCACTCGGTCCCTGAGCTCGCACAACAGCTGTTCCCTTGTCAGCCTGGAGTTCCGTTTCCCCCTAAACCTCACCCTGTGCTTGTTGGTGGTGAGATAATCTTTCATTGCTTTTTGTAGGCGTGGATTTAGCATTTTTGAAGAGACATTTCCTTTCCAAAGCCGGTATAGGAAGGACTTAGACATGGTAGAATAAAGTCTGTCCCAACGGGGCAACTCTTGGCTTCTCCTGTGCCTTAAGATAATTTTCTTTCGATTGTGTTTGATGGCCCTCTGTTGGTCCTCCTTACTGAGGGGGACAAACTTCACCATTTGCTGGCCATGGCTACGTGACATAGGTTGACCCAAAGTAAAAAAATAATCACCGTTTACTTGATAGAAAAGATGTGGGGATTTTTTTCTTGTCTGAGAAGGGAAAAACTCTTCATTCTCCAAACCATTTTTCATTTCAGTCCATTTCTGAAAGCTATTGGGACCTAAGTTAAATGAATTCAAAAGGTCTCCATTGAGAAGCACCTCATTCCCATCGATGGTTTCAGAAAAGGATGGGTCGTGCACGGCGCCCATGATTGATCTCTGTTTTCCTTGGATAGGCAGGATCCTTTTAGTTTCAACATATGAGAAGGAACTTGGAACTGGTTCCACAGTGTTGCTATCTGTGAAATAGATGAAGATCACTAAAAAAAGGAGACCCCAAGCAAATATCCCAAAGAGCATTAATTGTTTCCATTGTTTCAAGTTCGGTTTCATGGCAAAGCCCGTATCAACACTTCTCTGTCCTGAAGTAGTGGCAAGCAACCTGCAAGACAACATTAAAGGTTAACATAAGCACACTCAGTACTTTTCTACATGGATATAATAGGAAAATGACACATTTTGATGGACTGACCTAGGGTAAGCTCCACAGATGATCTCCCAGTTCTCTTTCCACTTGCAATGAACAATTCTTATTGACTACAAGTGGAAGGATTAAGTCCTTTTCCTCGCCTGTTTAAGTACATTTCTCCACCTATTTTTTATTCAATCAGTTAACAAGCACAAGAATTTATTTAGTGTTTACTATTGTGTCTTGGCATCTAGCTACAAAGTAAAAAAATAAAAAAATCGGTGCCTGTTCTTCAGGAGCTTACATTCTATGTAATAAGGCAGCAAGGAGGTGCAGTGGAGAGAGCACTGGGCCTGCGGTCAGAAAGGCCTGAGTTCAAATGTGGCCTCAGACACTAATTAGCTGTGAGACCCTGGGCTAGTCACTTAACCTGTTTGCCTCAGTTTCTTCATTTATAAAATGAGGATAATAATAGCACCTACATATAAGGGTTGTTGTGAGGACCAGATGTGCTTAGCAAAGTGCCTGGCACATAGTAATATAAATGTTAATTATCATCATCATCATCATTAATAGTGAAGAAAACAGGTATGAAAATAAGTATGTACAAGACAATAGATAAAAGGTAACCTTAGGGGTGTAGGCATTAACAGGTGTGTGTATGTGGCAATGTAGACTAAGAACATCTCCTGCAGAAGGTAGAATTTGAGTTGAGTCATAAAGAAAGCTAGAGAGTCTAAAAGTAGAAGATGAGATGAGGAGAGAGAGTATTCTATGCATGAAGGACGTTCAGTGCAATGGCATGAAGACAGGAGATGAAGTATTGTGTTTAAGGAAGAGCAATTAGACCAGTGTATTTCAACTATAGGGTGCAGAGAGGGAAAAATATATAGGACTGGAAAGATAAGGGGATAAGTCACACACGTGTGTTAACTATATAAACAGAAACACACACACACACATATATATACATACATACATACACACACAAATATATGTGTGTATATATATATATATATACATACCTATACACACATATGTGTGTGTACCCTGTTTCTTTTCTCCATTATTTCTTGAACATTATTAAAATAGGTATATAAGGTACAAAAATTAAATAATAAAAATATTTTTAAACATATATACTAAAAGTTACATGGGCCCTTTCAAAAGAGTCCCTTTTAGAGGTTATCCATTTGCCCCAACATTGCTCACAATCTTTTAAAAACTCCTCTTTGAGAGTTCAATTAGTATATTTGATTTTTGCATCTATTTTGATTTTGATTTTGCTATGTTTCATTCAGAGCTAAGCCTGTCAACAAGTTGAATGAAGTGGCTGATAAAACTAGTTAATACTTTTACTTTATTTATTTGTGTGTGTGTGTGTGTTGGACAGGATGAAAAACAAAGCATGACTAAAGTAATCAGAAGTGGAGACCAGTCAAAATGATGGATTAGGATGAAGCAGGACACCCCAATTCTCCTCATAACTATTCCAACAAAGATTTAGGAAAAGTTCCAGTCTGAGCTGGGAAATCCAAAAAGAAAATACAGTGAGATGTACTTTCATCCCAGGGAGTAGGAATAGAAGCTAGCCAGCAGCTTTGTCCTTCAGACCCCAGAACTGGGTTATGGATATAGCCTGGACTATGGAAGGGAACGTAGCTAGGTCCTAGGTTAACCTGTCATGAGTAGTCAACAGATCCAACTGAGACCTCATCGAGGGCTTTGTTGGGACAGGATCAGGAACAAAACTGAGCAGCAGTTATGTGGAACTGATATTCTAGTAGGGTTATAAATTCAACCCACAGAGTAGGGTTGATGTCCACAGTTCAGTGACCAGGGCAAGGAGCTCAGACCAAGGGAGAATATTCATTTCTAGAGTGTACAGAGCCTTCACACTAGATAATTGGGGCTAGAGTCTACTACTACTTCAATAAAAGGGAAGTTTAGTTTTCTCACCAGAAACAAATTAGGGTTGGGAGCTTGAAAAGCTTAGACTAGGAGATCAGCAAATAGACATCATTCACTTTAGATCAAATTGCTTAGAATGTGCTGAAAGCTTATATATTCTCCCACCTGGGCTACTCCTGAGATCTTTTAGAACCCAAACTCAATATCCAGGGAAAGTAGCAGCAAAATTCAAGAAAATGTGAGTCAGGACCAAATAAGCCCCTAACACGTCCCACAGAAGGGCACAGAGCCTGGCCATAATACAAAGACCTAACAAAGCAAAAAAAAGGTTCCAAGATAAAAACTCCGTAACACCTACAACTAGAGCTTCATAGAAAAACATAGCTTGGCCAGAAAGCCAACTAGAATTCCTGGAAGAAATGAAGTAGTAGTTAAAATAATCAGAGAAATGTGGTTTTCTGAGTTGTCTCTAGCTGACTCAAAAGAAAATTCCTAAGTAGGTGTTCCTGAAATATCTTAATCAATGTTAGCATCATTAAAATAAATATATGACTTCCCAAAGTGAACATTTTAGAAGTTATCAATCACTTGAAAGGGCAGTGAGGTGGTACAGTGGATAGAGTGCAGGGCCTGGAGTCAGGAAGACCTGAGTTCAAATCCAGCCTCGGACACTTACTAGCTGTCTTACTAGCCATCTTGCCCAAGCTCACTTCACCCAGTTTGCCTCAGTTTCCTCATCTGTAAATGAACTGGAGAAGGAAATGGCAAACCAGTCCACCAAGAAAATTCCAACTGGAGTCACAACTGAACAAAAATTCATTTGAATACATAAGCTCTAGTAGGTTAAAAGTCTATCAAATCTTACTAGTTTGTTTACATATTTGGTATGTAAGTGTGTGTGTGTGTGTGTGTGTGTGTGTGTGTATGTGTGTGTGTTGGGGGAAATCTGGGAGGACTTCAAGCATTGAAACTTCCTTCATTTATTCATTTAAGTGGTATGTAACTTGAAATGTTAAGAGGTTACTTGCTACTTGCATTTATTTGTCTATGGTCACATCAAGTTTGGCCTTTATTCAAAGAAAACCTCTCTCTCTCTATGTGTGTGTGTATATATATATATATACATAGTTAATATTCATATGTGTGTGTACTCCAATTTTTTATAAAAGAGATGAATATGTGTATACATACATATCCACATATATCTTATCCCAGGAGGAAAAATTCTAGACAATCTAGTTAGAGATAATGGATTTTCTTTATGAGATATGCATAAATATATATGCAAATATATATGCCTACATACTGATTATAAATTTGCATATATATGTATACTTCCTTAAAAGCACAGAAGGACTAAAGCAAGACAATATGAATGTAAAAGCAAAATCGTGTGTAATAAAGCAAAGAAGCTTGGATTTTCTAAGTCAAATGACTGAATTTATTCCAGTCAATGCAGAAGCAACAACTTAGGGTTCTACTGTTTTTGCTGACCCCTTACTGTTGAACAATTGTCCCTGTAAGCCACAGAACCAAATGGTTACTCCACCTAGGAAGAAGAATAACGTCACTTCAGTGCCAATAATACTCTGTACAACACAGTAGAGACTCTTTAAAAACTCTCACATGTGGAACAGTCTTTAATAAACAAAATGCTTTAATCTAAATTATGAAATGATTTGTTTTTGTTGTTTACAATAGAGGAGGAAGATACCAATTTAAATGATGGGGAGGGATGCGAATAAGAATAGAACTGAAAAAGACCTCTCAGAAAAAATCCTCTCATTTTACAGTTGAAGAGACTGAGATCCAGAGAATTTAAATGACTTGACCAAATCCATGCTGAAAGTATCACTGAGAGTATTTGAATCCAGATCCTTTTCCCACTGTACTTTAAGTTCCTAACATAAATTGTGCAGCTTGATTGTGGTTGTGGATGAAACACATTTTCTCTTTTTTTTGCTTCTCCCCTAACCCTACATGTGAAGTGAATGGAAAAGAGGCGAGGCTGAATTACTCTGAGCTCCTTGGAAATAAGTATTATAATATGAGAAGTATTTTTCATCAGGTAAGATTTATATGGTTCTTGATGCATTGTAATAATAGAATAGAGTGGGATAACTGCCTCAGCTCAGGATGAAGATTTGACTTTTAATAATTCCAAAAGCCTTTGTTTCAAGCTCTAGAAAAAGAATAACTGCAACCATAAGGGGTCAATTAATGGAATATCTTGCAAAATAATTAAATCATAAGCAACTGAAAAATCTCCGCTCACAATGCCAGCATAGGATCATTAAAAGTGCTGAATTACTCTGACATCAACATATAAGTCAAAACTCAGAGCCAGAAACAGATGGTCAGACAGACAAATAGATGGATAAACTATGTGTTGGGGGCGGGGTGGGACTAAAATAGTATAACTCATGCTTTTCCTTTACTTTTCTGTGTCTTATACAAAGAAACTTATCACAGACAGATACACAGAAAATTGTTTGCTGAACTGGACAAAAAAACTGATGACTAGAGGGTCACTCAGTCACATTTAACAACTGAAGACATCTTTAATTCTTCCTCAATCCCATCATATTAGAGTTGCCACATCATGTTAAGCTTAAGTTGCAATAATCTTTCACATTTCTTGTTTCCATTGTCTCATTCCCATAGTCAAAACTCTTGTTGTTCTGACTATAGCAATAGTCTACTAAAGCTCTCCTGGCTTCAACCCATCCATCACACAACTGCCAAAGAAATCTTCCCAATACACAGTTTTGATCACTTCATTCCTTTCCTTAAAAATTTCATGTGGCTCATTGAGGAAGCAACAGAATAAAAATCCAGACCACTTATCTACCATCACTTCTAATCTCTGTTAAAATTCTACCCTTCTTTTAAGGCCCTTCTCAAGATTGTCTCTTGAGAAGTCAGTTTACCCTCAAATTTTCCACTTTTCTTTGACTTGATTTTATAGTATAGTTATCAGTATGCGTGTTTTATCTCCATTACATTTCTTTCCCATTAGAGTGTAAAGTAATACAAAAAGAGATTGTTTTGTTCTTTGGGCTTATATCCCCAAAGC